TAGTACGTGCTCTCTTGCTGCTGCTGCAGCTGCTGCTGCTGCATCTGCTGCTGCTGCTGCAGCTCGCCAGGATGGGGGGCCCCCCGGGGGTCCGTCTCTACGTGGGCCCCGTAGCAGTCCACGGGGGCCCCCCTGAAGACTTGGGGGCCCCCCTCTAAGTAGGTTTGGGGGTCCCCGCTGCTGCTGCAGTCTGGCAGCACGTAGCAGCCCAGTGCAGCAGCAGCAGCAGCAGGTGGGGGCCCCACAGGGGCCCCCAGGAGCCGCTGGTTAAGGGCCTTTTGCGTCTCCCAGTCTTCTTGGCTGCTGCTGCTGAACCTAGCAAGGGCTCGATCTGCTGCTGCTGCTGCTGCTGTTAAGAAGCAGCAAGCTGCTGCGAGGAAGGGGCTGCCGGCCAGAAGCAGCAGCGCAGCGCGCAACTGCAGCAGCAGCAGCAGCAGCAACCCACACACAGAGAAAAATATCACCCCGTCGCCCCACATGCACAGCAGCAGCAGCGCCCGCTGCAGCAAAGGCTTCTGCTGCCCGTCCTGCTGCCCGACTAGCCGCAGCACATAGTGGAGTATCCTGCTGCTGCTGCTGCTGCCGCTGCTCTGTGGCTCCACAACAGTTTGGTTTGTGGTCGGCAAAGTCTCATAAGACTCAGACGCCCCAACTGCGACACACCCGCAACACAGCAGCAGCAGCAGCAGCAGCAGCAGCAGCAGCAGCAGCAGCAGATGTTCACAACAGGAACAAGCCGCACTGCAGCAGCACCAGCAGCAGCAGCATCAGCTGCTGCTGCTGCCCTGTGGCTGAAAGCCCAAACGCCATCCCAAGGGCCCCCATTGGGGACCTCTGGACCCTCAGGGGGCCACCGGGGGGCCCCCGGGGGCCCCCAGGGGACCCCCAGGAGCCTTTAGGGGTCCCCCGCGAGGGGCCCCCAGAGCCATTCTGGGGGCCCCCAGAGAGCATTGGGCCCCAAAAGAGTGCCCTAGAAGATTCCATAAAGCAGAAGCCGAGGAGGCCCACAAAAAGGCACCGGGGAGGCCCCCAAAGGGCACTGAGGGGGCCCCCAGAGAGCCTAGGGGCCCCCAAAGGGTACCCAAGGGGCCCCTAAAGCCTTCGGGGCTGCCATATGATGCTTTGGGGCCCCTAGAGGGACCCTTAAACTCTACAAGGATTGCCAGGGGCCCCCAAAACTAAAATGTCGCTTGGGAGCCTTCAGAGGGGTCCCCAGGGGGGCCCCCAGGGGGGCCCCCAGGGGCGCTTCTCGGGGGGCCCCCAGGGGGGCCCCTAGGGAAGGGTTTGAGGCCCTTACCATCTGGAAGTCCGAAGAAGTTGAGGCCCTTAAAAGCCTCCTGGACATAAGGGCGGAGCTGGTCCTTGTAGCTGCTGCTGCTGCTGCTGCTGCTGCTGGTGTCGTCTTCTGCAGCGGCGTACGCGCCGCCGGTGGCGTTCTTG